TATTTATAGCGTTGTGCATTAAATGAAATATATTGTTAATGAAAGCAAACACCACTGCTTTTATAAGCACCATTTCTTCTCCTGTTAGAACTTGCTCCTGTGGTCCATGGCTGAGTATTTCAGGGTGACACTCTGTCAAAGCACAGGGTCAGGATTAAGGCTAAGAGAGAGAGCAAACCTACAGCCCCAAGTGGTGCTGGATTACACAGGGGCGACAAACGATGCTGTGGACTGCAAAAACTATGCTTTTCAGACAGCTTGTTGGCATAGACCATAATGCTGTTCTTTGGCTAAGGCTTGGTCAAAGCCTTGTTTTTGAGTAAATAATTGGGTAGCTGCAAAGCCAAGAGCTTCAGGGGGTGTAGGGCTGGAAGGAGCCTGGCAAAGGAGAGCACAGGCTCCTGTAAGAGCTCTTCCCTGAAACTGGCTTCTGTTTGTCACTGCTGTGGGTCTTGGGGTCAGGCTGTCCAGGACACAGACTGAGCACTTCAGGGGGCAGCTGGGGGCTGCTGAAAGATAAAGAAGCTTCAAGGTTTGCTTACTGAGGACTTGTTTGTGCCCTAAGTGTGGCCTTGGCAAAGCCTCTGACACAGGCTAGAGCTTGGGCTGCTGTTGTGGCTGGGGTGCAGGGATGGCCCAGATTTGCTGTTGGAGCTGGGCTGCAATAGGGGCTGCCAAGGAATGTTTAGGTGACAGAAGGATTTCTTCCTCAGGAGCTGTTCATGTAGACCATGGCTGGGTGTTTTGAGATAAGGATGTTTGTTAGGGTTTAGAGTTAGAACAAGGACAAAGCCGAGTTTCAGGTAGTGTGGGGCTATCAGAGTTTCCCCCATAATTCTAATGCAGCATTGCTGGGCTATAGTAAATGTCTGCAATATGCATCTACTAGGAGAGTGCTTAAAATAGTAATTATTTGAGTTGGTAGGGAAATGTAGAAATTTGGTATTATATGGGGTTGGTTAGTTGGTATTTTTTTGTGTTTTTATCTTTTCTGTTTTGGTTAGGTTTGGTTTGGTATTTTTTTGTGTTTTTATCTTTTCTGTTTTGGTTAGGTTTGGTTTCCTGGGGGTAGGTATTTTTGTTGTGGTTTCTTTTGTTGTTTGGGTTTTGGTTTTTTTTGAAAATACCTAAGTATTCCAATAGTTGAAAACATATTTTTCAATTTTTGTTTTTATAGAGGTAGAAGACTCTAGAGGAGGAAAAAAAATATAGATATTGTAAAACAGGATCTTTCTTTCTGGAACTAGAATATTAAATAATGAAACCTATAGTAAAATGTGACCAAAGGCCCTTTGATTTTCATAACTTAGGTGCATAAGTGCATAACTTCTGTAGTGTTCAGCATCTATACAGTTGAAAATTTTCTAAAAATATTTTCAAAATAAAATATGAAGTCTTAAGTTGCACCAATATAGTTCTGTGTGTGGAATCAGGGGGAAGAAAAGTGATAGTAAATAAAAACTTCAAAAATTATTGAAGAGCCTGTCACTTCTCAATTTGAATAAAGTGGTCTTTAGAGAAACATGCACTACAGTAATATTCCTTAATTCCATCCTTTTCCATCTTGTCTAAAGACAAGTAAATTGCTGGAAATTATAGACAAGGACTTTGCAATGTAAGTACTGATGACACATTTTGTAGGTCTAGAAGTGTATTTCTTTTTTTAAATCTCCTGTCCAGAGTATTTTATTAGGATTTGGGTCCCCTGTAAGATGATAAAAACATCAGTTCACCTGTCTGCATTTCTCGTGACAATACATGATGTCTAATGCATGAAATAAGAGTTTAGCCTTCAGTATGGGCTTGGCCACCAGAGGCACATAAAGGCTGTGGAGTGGCTGGTGTAGCTAATTCACCCTGTGGGACAAGAGGCAGCATGGCCAGAGATACAATTTTTTGATTCTCTATCTTTTCCCAAGTGTAACCACCACCCCCACCCTACCCAGAATAAATAGACAAGGATTCCAGTCTACCCTAAGTGAACAGTTCAGGGACAAGTCCTTAATCTGTGCTCTTGTATCTAAACATAAAGTCCTGTTTTGACATTCTGAAACTTCTGGGTGAGACCTGATGACCAAAATTAGCTTCAGCTCATGTGCTTTTCCTGAATGTCAAGAAAGAAAGACGAAGGAAAGAAGAGGCAGGATTAATGACATTTTTCATTTGTTATAATTCATTGCCTGGGAGAAACTTATCAAGAAAAGTATTTAATGCATTTTTCAGAGACAGCAAAGGCTTGCAAAGAGCATGTCCTCTTGGCTACAATTCCCTCTCAGCTCCCCTTCTCTCCTTCCTGAAGCCCAGAGGCAAGTAAAACACTTGTAAATAACAAATTCACACAGTGTGAATCCACCCTCTTCAGTAATGCCAGCAATCCTTCATTATTTTCTAAGGATGTATCTTATCAAAATAGCTGGTATATGTTTAAATTCTACCAGAATTTTTACAGACCAGCACATTGTGGAGAGAAAAGTGGGAGCACCTTTTTGCACACTGACAGGGTGTGTTGTCAGCTGACATTTGGGCAACTTAACCCATGACCAGCTATGGACACAGACACAAATTGCTTTATCCCCAAGCCAAAACAGACTTTGTCTTCTATTATTAAAAGACATGTCTGTGTAGACATAGCAAACAGGTTTCAAAGGAATATAAGCTGAAGCCAAGGAGATTCCCAGGCTTGTGCTGCTATCTGGTGGAGTTGGCTACCCCAAGCTGGCAGACTGGAAGCAAGTGCAGTGCCCAGTGCAATAGGTATGCTCATTCCTGCTATCCCAAAGGCAGAATCCATCACAACAGGCATAATATCATGATAGATGATGTCTGATCCTTGGTTATGTGTGTAGTGGTCAGCAGCCTTGAGGGTGAGATGTGAGCTTTGAATCAGAAGCATAGATTTTCCTTCTTGCCTTGGTGTGATTTATAAGAAAAAAATTCCTGAAGCATTCAGATAATCTTTAGTGAGTAGGGGACTCCAAAGCCACATCAGAAATCTAATCTTTCCTGCCTCCTTCCATTCCTCTCAGTCTAGCACTTATCTCCCTGTGCAGCTGTGCACTAATCCCTGTTCCTCACTGGCCAGCACAGATGTGATTTTTGTGTGTGTGGTGGCTTTTAGGTGTGCTGCCCATGGCAGATCCTGGTCTGGCTGGCTGTAAATCCCTGCTGTGCCCCTAGGTTTGGTGTTTCCTCTCTTCAGACTTTTTCATTTCACAGTGAAAAAAAATTTCTGTTGTAGCAAGCAGGTGTCCCTTCACTAGAGCTGTGGGAGAAAAGAAGGCAATAAAGAGTTTTGGAAGATCATTTCTGTGCCAGTGTACTCAAAAACACTAAGAATCACTTGGAACTGGGAAAGGAAGGATTGAAGAGTCGGGATCTAAAATAACATCTAGCAGATACTCTGAGAAGCAAGGAGGACATGGGCTGTCACTCAGAAGATCAGGCAGCAAAAAGGCATCTTGCCTTGATGATACAAAAGCCAGATGGCTTCTCATGAATGTCATACATATTACTTAAACTCAGCTTCTTCAGCTGATGAACTGCTTTAATACAGAGCAGCCAGTCTAATGATATTTTTGAGGATGAAAGTGTGATAAAAATTATGAGCAAGCAAACTCCTAGATTGGTTCAAATTATTTATAACTTTTCACAGTCTAAGCTTCTGTCAAGTTTAGTTTCATTGCTTCTAAAAATGATATTCTAGACTGGAGTGCTAAAATGGGGAAAGCTGCCAGGGGAGGAGAAATTTCTGCTATCCAGTTCCCTATTCTTTTCTAAATAAGTTTTATTTATTCTGCTGGAGCTCAGGTCATTTCATTTTGAGGGTCTGTGGCATGCATTTGTTATGACACTGAAAACACCTCATATATTATGAAAAACTCCCTCTAGAGTTCCCAAATATCTTGAATAATGTTTTTTTTTTGTTATGAATCTTCACTCACACTGAAAAGCTCATGGTAAATTCATAAAAAACTGTTTTCCATTTTCCAAATTTATGTAGATATAAATCTAATAAGAGCCACAATAAAAAAGAAACATTACTTTCATTTTATTAATTGAGATATTTGGAGAGTATGTTGTCATGTTTTGGGTTGTGAATTCACAATTTACGCTACATTCCATGAGATCTTTTGGTGGAATGGCTATTTTAACAGGAAAAAGCTCAGACAGAAACTCGAGACCCAGAAATGAGAGAGAAATTGTTAAAAATAGTCAATGATTGACAACCATTGACAGTCTTGTAGGCTCAGGCAGATATCTTCTTGTAAAAATATTGACTTTTTGGATGGACAGATGAATATATGAAAATAAGAGCTATTTCTGAACGTGCTAAAGTCACCAAAAGCAGTCCCATGACTTCAGTATCTGCTGAAGCAGCGCATGGTTGAGGCACTTCAGTATAGACACACCATTTCATTCTTCTACTTGAAACAGGCATTTGTGCCTCTTCTTTCTCCTTCCTTAGCATTCTGCAGCTTCCTTATTGCAACAGTGGTTTCATCTTGCTGGAAAACAATTACTAAAGGTATCAAAGTTAGATCAAATATTAATGTATGCTCTTCATTGTATTTATAGGGATATTCTTACTTTGCTTAGAATGAATAAATGTTTTACTCTGTATCCCCTTTTGAATGAACATTTTTATAATGTAACTTGTTGAGGAATCTGGCTCCAAAATAAATAGGAATGCATATATGTTTGATTTGGAGATTTGAACCAGTTAACTCATTTAGGAGCTAGTGGTTTTGAATGTAAAAATTAAATATCAGGTGTTTTAAACTCCATCTATTATTTCTTATTAGAGCTTTTATTTATAGACTTTTATAGAAGTATTGCTTATGCTTTTATGCAAAGATATCCCTTTAAGAGGTAATCCTTCATTTGCCTGTGTAATTGGAAAGGAAAATGTTTGCTAGCAAAAGAGTCATTACTTTGGTTCTTAATTTCCTGTTTATGTTTGAATTGATAGGTGTTTCCTCATTACCATCAAGAAAGAAGTTGATCATCTATGAATAACTCATTTACACTGTAATCACAAAGCTGCAGTAGATTGCAACTCATGATTCAAAAATCAAAAGGTACCCATAGGTCTCAGCAAATTGGATGGTCCAAATCTTGCCCATAAATTCAAGCCAGAATGAACCAAAGAGCAACACAGCAATCTGTGTAGGATAAATAAAACTTGGCTGGGTATTCAATACTGGGTAAGTTATTTATTACTGTAGCATTATTGTTTCATTTTGTAATCTCATTATTTCCTACCAGAATTCACTGAGAGAAGTCTTTAAAAATATATTTAGTTTTATGTGATGTTGTATCTAAGAAGAATTTTGACTTTCATTTAAATATTCATGTTTCAATTGTCATTCTCTTTTGCTGTAATTTACTTTAATTTTTATTTGCTTTTACATTTGTTTCTCCAAAGACAATACTTTGAATGAAAGGTATTTGAGCACCTCATTCTCATTGATTTGTAAGGAAGAAAGTATGCAGGGATGTTGGAGAATTGGGCCAGAAGCCCTCTACATGTTTACAGAAGACTTAGAAAAGCATTGATGAGAAATTCACAACTTCTTGTCATAGCTGTGCTGTGGCAGCAAGTCTGTATTGAACAGACCATGTCTTTAAAAAAAAAAAAAACTGTTTCATCTACATGCTAATTTTGTATTTAGCTTTTAATTATTGTTTTGCATTGATGTCACAAGTAAGAACCAAGATTTCTTTGATGAGTCAAAAGACCATTCATTAGCAATCAGATTCAACCACATTCAGTAAGTCCTATACACCAGTCATCAAGATTGATACAGCTTTCAGGATAGAGCTGAAGCTTTTCACAATTTTTTAAAAACTCTCTTCTTTTTTACAGTAGGATAAACCTGATAGTTTAACAGATCAGCATTTCTCTGAGAATCTTCTACCCAAAAGGCAACTTTGAAAAAAACGTGACATCTAGTTAGTACAAAGTGTCACCTGAATCATTTATGTAACATTCCTCCCACCATACTGCTGATAATATCTTCAAAAAATTGGGCGAAGAGCTACAACAAAAGTGATAATGGAAGAGAAAAGCCTGAGATGTGAAATGACAGCACAAGAGGTACAATTTATACTTCACCTTGTCTAAAGGATAAAACCAAGGCATTTTCAGGTCGTAAGCAAGTCAGAATTTTTTATGCAAGACAAACAGCATCACTCTGGTTTTATAATGTGGCAATTATGCATTTACACTGTTGTACACATATATTCATTAGTCCAATTACCACAGTGTTTACCTAAAAATAGTATGGGACAAAACCAAACTAGGTTCATGTTCATGAGAAATTTTTTGGCCATGTTTAGTAGCAAAATGATGGCATTTGGAAAAGGTACATTTGTTTTATTTGTCAGCTTCACAGAAGAGGAAATAGACATTAGTGATGTTAATGTTAGTCACCCATATTAATGGGAGCTGGAGTGTCACTGGATCTTATAAAAAGTTCAAATACTGTTCTGTGTTAGTTATCACTCTGCCAAAGAAGCTTTCACTGTGCCCTGAATATTTAATTACATGTGCTTGTGCAATACTGGCCTTACTTAGATTGAAACAGGAATTCATCATATGTACTCTCAAGACAACTGAAAATTAAATTTAGGGACCTAAATATTATCTGTCTTCATATTCATATTAATTGAGATAATTAATTGAGATTAATTGAAAATCAACATACTCAAGGAAAAAATGTACCTTTAAGAGATCTGCACAAGAACAAACTGAGAGTTGATTTTGCACTTTGCAAATGCCTACATAGCAAAATCCATGTCGCTGAAGGCATAGATTTTGGACAAAAAAGGCATCAGACTTCTCTGCACTGTTTTTCAACGAGTATCATTGTTATACCTTCTCCATCCCAGTGGAGATAGATTTTCCCTTCCTAGAACCAATCTCCAAGACCTCCACCACAGGACTGGTGCTCTCACTCTGCACATTCAGCATGGAGGCTCTTTTCAGAGACCTCCCCTGCCACACACAACAGGCCCACTAATCTAGGATGTCCCAAACGAATTTGCCACACAGAGTTGGGGACACATTTAATCTAGAGCAATACTTCAACAAAAACCATTTTGCTCAGCAAGAGTCTGAAACCTCTCCATCATACCACCCATGACTGCGTCTTTGATTGATGCTCATTTTGATGCCTGTGAGCATTTATTGTTACAGACCCTTCAATCCTGGAGCCCATGGACTCCAGCATCTCCACCTGAGCCCTGAGCTGCTGTTCTGTCTCTTGGTTAAGGTGATTGCTACACTTATTTTTAGCCCTGTCCCCTGCTGTCTCTGGCTGGCAGAGTCTTAGGGTCCCTGGGCTCCCTGAGTGATCCCTGGACTTGATTCATCCCTGGATGTGCCTGGATCTGCAGCACATGGCTTTGTTTGTCCATGGCTTTGTTTGTTTGAGCCCCTGTGGGACTGTGCTGTGGTGGGTGAGGACATTGTCCTGCTGAGGTCACCCTCAGCTCCTGCCTCATCCCCCATCACAGAGCAGCCCTGCTTCTGTTGCTCTGTGGAAAAAGAAATGTATATTATAAATTTCTCTCCTCTTTCCACAATAAGCTCTCTTCAGAAAGAGATGGTAGAAACTAGAATGTTTTGAAGTTATTTCTTTGATATATGGCTGCATTACAATGCCGTCGTGATATATGTTTTAAATTACATGAAGGGATGGAAAACAAAATAATAAAACATAGCTGGCATGTTTTAGTGTGCACTACTGTGATCCATAGTTCGCTGACAAAATAAGACCTCAGGGTGAGGTATTTATATTAATTTAGCTTTAATACCCTTTTGTGCTTTACCATTTTGCTTTATTTTCCTCAGTTAAGTTTTGTGCTTTGTCACAATGTTCCTTGTCTTTCTCCATGAGCTGTAGTCAGGAGTTTATTACCAGCAGGTTTTTCTACTGCAATTTTGCCATTCCGCTCCAGTATTGTAAAACTAGGAAAATAACTTAAAGCAAAACAGCATTTTTCTGTATGCCACATACTAACTCAATCTACACAATTAACAGAGAAATGGATTTCCATGGTCTTTCCCATAAATAAGGGATATTCACCCCAGTAAGGATTTTCAAGATATTATCTATTTATACACATGAAAAAATATTTTTCACAAACTCCCAGAATGTCTGGACAAGACTGACTGTGAGAGTAAATATACCTGACCCGCTGACCGCAAATATGTAGGGGAATTACACCTTTTTCAGCACTGAAGAGACAAGTGTTTGCCATCAAGAGGCATTGTGTAGCACATGGCATTGGCTGGTATCCTGAATCTGCCACTGTTTGCCTCACAGCTGGCATGACACTTGCAATGGCTTGTTTTCTAGCTACTCATATACCAGCTATTGAAAATAATATATTTACTTCAAAGCAATCATTCAGTGCAAAGTATGCAGGCAGGGTAGTACCTATGCTGACAATGATACCTGATCCTGTCACAGAACAGGAATCTGTTTTTGTCTTATGATTTGTAATGCAGGATGGTGTACTCAATAAAATTACTCATTGTTACATCCTTGCTTTCCCAACAGATGAATAATTAATATCTATCTATGCTGATCTATAAAACTAACATTTTATGTGACAGACATCATTAATAGTGAACATTCAGTATAAGGAAGAACTGCATTATATATCAGAAAGGTCTGAGCTTTAGATATTAAAGCAACAGTAGATTCAAGCATGTTTTCATAGTTGAAAAATAATTAAAAAAAAAACAACACTTTTCCTTACTGTGAGTTTGTCTTGGTGATCAATCTGTTTTATTACATGCTGGTTAAAAACTCAAATTCAGAAACTGAAACCAGCATAAACTTTGGCTGCTCTGTGTTTAACAAAATGCTTCCTTAGATTGTGCAATAGAATATTTTTGTCTGGGGTATTGGCAGCTGGCATTTCTGGTGAAGGATTTTTGCTAATTAAAAAAAAAATTGATCTGGTGCCTTATGGCTTGGATTTACAGACACCATACAGAATTTTCACTCTTGTCAGCTCTTTTCTGACAACAGCTCTAAAGTGAGAAGTAGATTACAAGGGATTCTTCTTATAGCCACTGATCTGCTTTCCATTGGTTATTGGGATTTTCCAGTCTTTTACATACTTCACATTTTGATAAATCTGACACAGTAAGAGACAAAGCACAGTGCATTCAAATGTCACTATCATCTTGCTCTTTTCAAGCCTGTGTTGTAAAAGGGATTGAGGAAACCTTTTTGCTTGCTGATAAAATTATCTCACTGATTTTTCTTTTAAATACACTTGTATATATACCTCAAAAATTTTATAACTATGGAAAGTTGATATTATTTAAAAATTTTAATTATCAAAGTCATTAATCCCTTTGGATAAGAGAATGACTATTCTCTCATCATCTTCTATACCATACTGGTGTGCTTTCCTTTTTCTTTTCACAATTTTGTCCTTAATTTTCAGCTTAGTTTAAGCTTCAGCACTGACAGGTATAATGTTGACTACTAGAATTTTATACTGCAACACCAAGAGCTGTGAAATTCTATTATATTTTGGGGTCTGCTCTGCATGAGCTGCTTTGTTATCCTATTTTAATTAAAAAGATATGTGTATTATAATACTACACTAAGATACTTGTGAAAGTTACAGTCATTGAAAATTGAAAAAAATATTCTAAGTATACATTAGAAATAAATACATATTTTTAGTGAAAAAGACCCCAGATGATTGAGTGGGTGTTTTTTCCCACAATATTACTTGTCTCTTTGCATTTTCAGATATCAAGGCTGGGCCAGTCCTGAAGTAACAGGATTCATCTTACAGATGTATCACTAATTTCAGCTATGGTGGAGTTGACATTTGATTCTGCATTTTCTAATTTATTCTAAGTTATGTACACTCTAGTTAGATGTGCATAGATGTGTGATTAATGCTTTCAAAAGGGGTATGTTTTGTTTAAATGGTTATTCATATATGTGAGAAGGTAATATATGAACTGCCTGTGTTTGATGAGAACAGATGGTGTTTCTATTCCTTCGTTCCAAGGAGAGTACTAAGCAAAAGTTTGCTGAAATTATTTCCATAAGCCAAGGATACAAATGTTAAAGAGACCTTAGGCTCCAGTTGCCTGGGACCACAATATTGCTTTTGAAGTTATTCACCCAAAGTCAATATTTAACTGTTACAGTACTTTTGTGAGTAATCAAGTATCACTGCCCTAATTTATTTCTTTGCTATAGGCAAATTTTATTAAATATTCTAAGATTGAACAGACTACTTATGAAAGTTTCTACAAGTTGTAAATTCTTGCAACCAAACTGTAATTATCTAACTTCATAAAAATACATGACTAACATTGAGAACAATAGCACAGAAGCTAAACTAATTCTGGGTTTTTAACAGCACTTGACACTGACAAACAAGGGAACAGTAATGTGGTGCAGGAAAAACTGTAAAACAGAACTTGTCAAACTTTGGGAACAGGTAAAACACTTCTGGGAGATTTTTTTGTAGAATCATTTAGTTTGGAAAAGACCTTTAGGATCATCATGTCCAACCATTAACCTAATGCTCAAGTCCACCACTAAACCATGTCCCTAAGTACAATACCTGCATACTTTTTAAATACCTCCAGGGATGGTGATTCAACAACTTCTGCTGGTTCAAATGCTTGCCAACACTTTACCCAATCTAAAACTCCCCTGGTGCAGCTTGAGGCCATTCCCTATTGCTTGTTTTTTGGGAGAAGAGACTGACCCCCATCTGGATACACCCTCCTTTCAGGGAGCTGTGGAGTGATGAGGTCACCCCTGAGCCTCTTTTTTCTCCAGGCTGAACACCCCCAGCTCACTCTGTCACTCCTCACAGGAGTTGTACTCCAGACCCTTCAACGTCTTTGTTGCCTTCTCTAGACATTTTACACCCTCTTCTAGACAAAAGATGTTGTACAACACTTCCAGTTTCTGTAGTGATTCTGCTCTCTCATGACTCTCTTCCCACATAGGTTTCTTCCTGATCTTTACCCATGTACCATGGCTTGGACAGTCCAGAATGAAAAGCAAGGTATGGTCCAGCTGGCACTTTACTGTTTGTAGCAAATAATATAAAATAAAATCAGTTTTTACAAACTATGCAATATCAGACCTCATCATGTGGCTACATACAAGAAACACATAACATTACAGCAGTGGTTTTAGTGACTCAGTAGCTCCCTTCCATGTCAGCAGCAACCTGCTGATGGGGCCTGGCAGCACAGCTAATGTATAGCATTTTGTTTCAAGAGGTCTAGGTGTATTCTGTCTCTCTTAATGCCCATGACCAGCAGATATGACTTGAAAGAATTTATTTCTTCATAAAATTGTTCCCAGAGTCAATAATGTCTCGCTTTCATAACTTTTTTTCTCCAGAAGTTTGTGTGCTCGTCTGAAAAGATCGAAACCCCCGAGCTGTTACTGAGTTTAAAATTAGCAACTTTTTGTCTTACAGCTATGAAAAAAAAAAAGGATATTTTTTTCAGGTGGATTTTCATGCAGGCCCTTAAAATTTAGCAAACACAGGAGTTTTCTACTGAATTTTAGGTTACATAAAAGAGGTTTTAAATTAATAATTTTGGCCATAAGAACTCAGAGTAAGTGCATACATGGAGGAATAAAATGGATTGTACTTCCAAAGAGAAACAGTCTAAATCAAAAAGGATTTTGCTTCAGGGCCTTTTCCCAAGGCTGTTAATATAAATGCTGATGGAACTGTGACCACTGAGAATAAAGGAAATCCTACCTCTACATGGTTGGTTAGTAAATCCAAATAGAACATTGATGTGCAAGATCATTATAGGTTACCATTTCCTTGTCAGAGCTTCAGAATATGTGTCTGTTTCTCTTGAGGTTACCCCATTGCTAAATATATGTTCTCATAAAGCTTGATTATGGTTTTATTAATGTTTTTTGTGTAATTGTTCATCCTGCTTAGGATCAACACTATGGAGCATAGACAGTAATACTTCTAAAAGCAAAGAACAGTAGGAAAGAGCCATGCTTTTAACTCATTTAAAAACCCCAGAAGAGAACTGAAAACTCAATCAATTGTTGGACAAGTAAAAGAGTCTGTTACTCCAATGTTTTAAAACCCAAGGGGGTACTCTCAGGGGTATGTGCTCAGCATCACTTTCAGTAATGGTAATACTCAGCTGACTCAGAGGTAAAAGCTTCAGATATTTCATCCTAAGTTGCATGCAACTCCAAATTTGAAGTAATGGTTTACTTGAAGAAAAGGTAGGGAATGGGGACCAACACTTCTAAAACACAAGGTTATTTTTATACAATGCTTTAAATATTATTATTTCTGAATCCATATAGAAATACTACTGCTTTTTTGTCCACATTTTGCTTTCTATGTGCATTGAGCTTGAAGAGCTTTTCTAACAGAAATCAAATACTGTGACCAACCCCTTGCCTTGCTTACAGTGGTGTTTTTGGACCTTTAAAAAGCAAACCACAATCCATACTGGATAGATAATACTGGGGAAAGTTTTCCCTGTTAATAGATACTTTAATCTGGTCCTGGAGATCTCAATCCTACAAGCTGACTTTTTTTTTTTTAAGAAACATCATGTTTTATCTCTTTGCCTTTAAAAAACACTTTCTGGGGAAACACATCTTTGAATATTCCAAATTCATTAATATTTTAAAACAGTGGAATAGAATGCAGAGTTTCTTCCCTGTTTTTTTAGGGAGAATACTTTAAACTGCTTGCCTCTTCAATTTGAGAAGAATGATTGCCCAAAGTACTAATCATTGCTAATAAAAGAATATAAACTTAGGCAGTATTTGTAAGTCAAAACCAGTAATTTTTCTTCAGTGGTGAATAAACTGAAAGAAGAGATTTGTTTCTCTACTTCTCCTCATAGAGGAGCATTTCACTGCTTGTTGCCTGCCAGCACTAAGAAAGGAAGGCTTCTCTAAGACTATCCTAACATTTTATAAAGAATCACAGCTGATTTTTGCTACAAGAGAAGAAGGAAATACAAGCTGAGTGAATTAGAATTGTCGACTTCTATGGTTTGCCATAATCACTAGGACAAGGGGCAAGCACAGTTGAGTATCACTTATTTTAAAATGCTTTCTCATTTACTATTGATTGTGATCAGGAAAAGATCTTGCTTTCTGGTGAACTTTGAAAAAAAGGTTTGTAAATCAAAGGTATCCTTGGTTAGCTGTAAATTGGCATCTCTGTGGATTTGCACTTGAAGGGCATCAGAGAGAGAAATACAATCATCCCTTTAATACTACGCATACCTTAAAAAAGCATTTAAGATTATAGGCTAAGTACTACCTAACAGTAAAGAAACTCCCTGAATTTTACACTTACTGTATTCTTATCAGTCTCTGGGGTTTACTTGTGGGTTTGTTTTTTTTCCTATTTGAATATGTAACTCTGCAATATCTCTTGCTACCTGCAATATGTTTACACAAATCACTACAGGCACCTGATGTAGACTTAGATAAGGAGCAGTGTTACAAATCTGAAAATATTCATCTATATACAAAAAAATAATGAGAAGCTATCTTTTCTTTCAGATACTCCTATAGAGAATACATTTCCATGATCTCTGGATATTTAAGTACCAATTCTCAAGCACTTTTAATTAATTTTTTTAAGGGAGAATGATATGAAATGCCAAGTAAACAGTAGCAAAATTGCCCTTCTTAAACTTTGAAAACAGCTTTATGATTTGTCAGTTTAATGAAATTATGTAATTGTAATAATTGTAATAATAATAATAATAATAATAATAATAGTAAGGTAAATGCCTGAAAAGTGGACAAAAAAAAACTATTTAAATAGAATATGTGCTATTTTATTGGAAACCCAACAAGCAATCAATGCCTTAATGAGGACATTTTCTCATTTTTAAAAGAAGGAAAGAACAGTATTAATGTTTAATTATTTAGATTTAAGTACATGAAAATGGTTACAGTTAACGCTATAGCCAAATACTCAAAACACCTGAAAATCAAAGAATTTAAGTAAAACTGTCATTCAGTTTTTAGCTAGTCTCAATATAACTAATGAGACGGAAGAAAAATGCACTCAACTCCCCATATCCTCTTTTATCACCCTCTTGACTTAAACACTTTTGTTTTCCAGATTTCCAAAAAGTGCACTCAAAGTGTGTAGAGCTTTTACTTTGCTTTAGATTTCATTTTTTTTCCTAGAGACTAAAAAGAAAACCCACCTCAATGTCATATGACTCTCAGATGAATATTTAATCATTCTCTCCATATCCATTTAGATGGATCATAAATGCTGCCTATTTTCATGTTGCAGCCAGTCCATTAAAATGAGTTTATCTTTTGCCTGGTTTAAGTTGATAATCCTTTTTGCTTTTATGTATATATCCTATTTACTTTGAACAGAATAGCTCTTAAATAGCAATATATTGGTCATGGTATAAAAAACTCCAACTATAAATTCACAAGATTTGGTTTAAGAAACATCAATATTCAGCAAGTATGCAGCATTTCAATATTGTTTGGTAACTCACTTTTTTGCTGTATATTCAATGAAGAAAAAATACTATAAATGTATATAAATTTAAATATATTATAAATTTCTTTTTTCACATATCACTAATTCTATAAAGGTTTTAATGTACTGTGGTTTAAACATCCCCAATTTTAAGTTTCTTTTCAATTATAAGAGACTTTAGTACAATAAGAAATAGCTGTGAGTTTTCTGTAAGATGATTCATCATAAAAAAAATGTTGTTAATGAAATTAAAACAATGTGTTTTAAATAGGCATCAAGCTCAGATCTTTACTACAAAACAAATAGTATCTTAGACTTTATAGTGCTTCTATCATGAACAAAAGTCATTGTCCTGAATGCATTACTGATAATCTTCACCCATTTACCACACACAGCATGAATAATTTTATGTCTTCCCTTAATAATTGTTATGCATTTCTTTGGGTTTGACTGAAAAACAAGAAAGAACCTCCTGAAGCCATTAAATTATGTAACTCATAGAAAAGGAAGCTCCACAGGAACTGGACATGAAGGAAAAAAACCCAAAGCAGCACATTTATTTTACATAGGATAAAGTATGGTTGTGCTTCCAGGCATAAGATATCCAGTCAGTGACAAGGTTTGGGAAGACACATTTTAGTTGTTTAACTGTGGTCACTACAGCCTGGATATAAAGAAGGACCATGACAATGACCATTGTCATCAGCAGGGTGACAAGGAGGTATTGTGGTCTTTAAGGAAGCCTGAAAATTATTAAAGCATCTGCACTGCACTGTTAGCAAACCTACTATAACCATGGCATTAAGTCCAGATCAGACTAAAGAGTATCCCTTTAATCCAGCTGGGGCTCTCAGTTCAACTCTGGGATCCTGAATAGGAAAGAAAATATAATTTTATTTGTTGGATTCTTTGTCTGGAACACAAGCTGGTGGCCACAGGAAACAGTAACTGGAATGTTCATGTGTGGCATATGCCAGTAAGAGGCTTGGAGTAGTTGCTGCCATCCTGGATGGGTGGCTGGAGAAAAACAGGTGGCCTGATAAATAGGCTAGCATGGGGTAAATGGAGAAACACAGAGGAGCAAGCCTGGAGAAATGCAATGAACTTTTTTTATTGTTGTTTAAAATATAATATTTCTGATATTAGAAATATGGTGATATATTAGATGCTTAATTAATGAATTTGAAGATTTACAAACCAGAAATGTTATCCCCAGCTGTTTGAAAACAAAAGAACATTTCATAATCCTTTGAATCAAGAATGAAAAAAAACCTCACAAGTGCAGATAATATTATGTGACAATACAGTTTATGTATTATTTACTTATATATTATTACATTAAAGCATTTAAAATTTAAGTCTTTTCCATATCAGGTGTGAATTTCATTTAAATGGGAACAGATTACTGAATGGCATTAAGGAACACAGTTCTATTAATAAGTTTGGAGTGAAAACCACACTGCTGCTATTTCACTCCCAGTGAGCTGCTACTGGCATTTTATCTGATATGGTGTTGACTGTCTTTTCACATCTTGTGTTATTAAACTGACAATTTAACAAAAATCAGAAAAGCCCATGATTTATAAACTGGCATGTATATTGTAGTATGCGAAGCATTTTTCTGGAAAGGTAGGAAATCAGAGATATAAAGCTAAAGTATTCATTTAAATGAGAAAGGAATAAGTAGAAACATTAGTCATTAAATGCATTTTATTAAAGAAATGTCTCATTATCCTTTTGTGTGACTCATGAAGTCACCATCAACCAGCTTGTAACCTGTAATTATATAGCATTTCTCTGCCAGCCTGGGGGTGAAAAATCCATAGGGGGAATTTTATTAACTCTGACCTGGGGCACTGCTAAAGAATATTGGACATTTTGGTCATGATTTTGAAAGTAACTTACCAATTCACATAACTAAATATTGGATTTTCAGATGGGGATATTTTCAAGACAAATTTAGAAACAGCAAGGTTCCCACCTGTTGAAAATGAGGCCCTTTTAAGCCAGCACAGTGATTTCCAATGTAAAGTAGATCTATCATAGAACAATTCAGAAATCCTGTATCAGAAATCTATTGAACAGGATTATGTGTTTCTTAGCACCATGAGGTGACATTTTGCTTATAATAAACATGTGGTGTAACTATGGGCATTTTCATCAGGCACATGCATGGCTAATTTTGTTTAAAAGCAGGCTATATTAATCAAAATATAAAATTCTTTTTTATGTCTTTGTTATATTTCAGATGAATTTTCTTCTGTTTACTTGGGTCACAGACTGCAAATAAGAACCATCATCTTTTCTTTTATTTGCTAATTTATGTCTTTGTATTCTTATTGCTATTGCTAAAATTTGAGAGATCCCTTTGGTTTTTTTTTTAATACTGACTTAAACCAAGGAGCCTTCAATATTAACTGTTATACTTTCTCCAAAATGTGGCTTCCACTCTTTCACAACTCATTCCCTCAAACATCTTCTCTAAATTACTTTCTCTGCCTCCCTAAACTGTACCCCCAAGGAAATCTTTCACATTTCTATTTCAATATCTGATGACAAGCTGAAAAGCAGTATGCAAGGTAAGGATAGAACACTAATTGATATAAATGTGAAATGACAGTAATGGTCTCTGTCTGAGCCATAACTGGAGACTTCTGTGTAATGAAAAACCTTCCATAGTTAATATTTTTTGTCCCTCTAGTAATATTAGGTAAGATAATGTTTTAATAGATTTTTGAACAGAAGTCTTAGTTTTGCTATGCAAACTTGAAATATGCTATGGAAGACACTTTTTATCTTTACAGCATTTCTAGGGATTTATTTTTTCAAAAAACACGAAAAGAAAAAAATATTGGCAATTTTCATTGTAATGAGTCCATTTCAAGAAGCAGTGAATGGTTTCTTTATTATTCATTTCTAGCTTCTCAAGAGATTTCAGAAGTTTTATTCAAAATTAGAATTTTTTTTCCCCGTGAATACGACTTCATGTGTGTATGTAATGGCAACACAGAAAACTGAAAATTGCATTTCTTGAGTCAAGCACTGTGACTGTAATATGAAAAGAAAGATGATGCAACATTAATTGCTTCTGTGGCAAGAAAAAATTGTTCTGGCAAGGTGTGAAAATAATGCGGTTTTGCCTTTTACTTTATATATTGTTAGAAGTGGATTTTATATTTTAAAACATCCTTGTTGTTTGACATACTGCTAATGAACCATGCTAAAATAACAGGGCTTTCTGCCATGCAATTCTGAGATATGAGAGACAATAAGCACAATAAAAGAGCTCCACAACTGGAAATCATCATCAGTGAAGATGAGAATAGGGTGAACACATGAAGGAAAGGTAAAAGTGTGTTCCAGGTGACCTTCAAAATCTGTCTCTTCCCCTCTTTTGATTCTGGGTCTTTCTACTTCTTATGAACCACCCAGGCCAGTTTGGAAGAAGCAGCTGTGTTGCACAGCAGCTGAGATCAAGGTTCTCTCTACCTGCATGTACAGGCCTAATCACTGCTTCCCATTTTTTCCCTGAAAGACTCCTAATTATACTTTATTTCAGGAGGAAGAAAGGGATAGCTGCTTCATAAATGGAAATTAGTTTAAAATGCATTGAAATATCTATTGGTCCAATAATAATGTGCTAAGGACATTTGTAAATTTGACAAGTCTTTCCAAGTGATGTTTCTCAGAGTATGCTTTAAAAGTTTAGGTTAGTTTTGAACAGCTGGGATTTACATATTCAGATACTAATACCATGGTCAGATTTCAGTGGCTGTTCATTAGATTATATTCCCCCACATTAAAAGGAGATTATCTTGCCGAATTTGAAGTAATGGTTAAATATTTCAAATAAACCCAAGAATTGTTAGCCTCTCTAAAATGGGATCTTGCCTCCCTATTTTGGACATCCATAGCGGTTTTTCAGGGTTCTCAGTTTCCAGAGACCATGGAAGAAACACACAACCTGGAAAATTTCAGCCTAAATGCCTGAAGACTGGCAATATGATAAGCAACTAGAGAACATCGTCCTGCAAGGAACAGAATCAGGTAAATTGAAATTAGGGATGATGTACCTGCACTGGCTACTACAGAAAAAGTCACATTCTCTTTTTAATTGTATGGAAGGTTTTACTCATTTCAACATTACCTAAACCTCATTTTTTAAGATAAGGGATTTTAAAATGTGTTTTAGGAAGATGCATTGTCACAAAGAATGGTAAGTCCACTAGCCACCAAAGGAAGCTCTGAAACCATGCTTCTCTGTGGTTTGAAAAGCCAAGCTATTCTTAAAATACACAGCCATATTAAGAGGAACACAGAGTGGCTGTGGTTGGAAGGGACCTCTGGAGATCATCTGGTCCAGCCCCCCTGCTCAGAGCAAGCTATGGCTGGTTGCCCCGGGACATATCTAAATGTCTTTTGAATTGGTCTTCAATTAGACTTCATGCCACTGATCACCACCCCTGGGCTTGGCTGTTCAGCCAGTTATCAATCCCCCTCCCTGTCTGCTCATGCAGCCTCTGCATCAACAGCAGGGATGGTAGTGCTACATGAGCTCACTGGTGGGCTCCAACTCCATTGCTCTGCTCAAATGACTGCTCAAACTCCTTTTGGTGAAACAGCCATAAGCATGGCTTAATTTGCTTTTTTTTTTCCAAAAGGTTAATCCGCCAACGGGCAGGAAAACAAAAAAACCGGCAACGAAAGCAACCTTGGAAAGAAAAAAAAAAGATATATATACACACACACAAAAGAAAAAACAAAATACACAGGGCACACAAAACAAAAAAAAAAAGCTCACAAAAAGAGATACACAGAGAACAAAAAAGACCCCCCCCCCAAAATTGGGCAAAAAACACAAAAGAACACTCCCACACCACAAAAAAAAAAATCACACACAAAAACAGAGATAAAAAAAATAGTAAAAAAAAAATATGCCAAAAAAACACTTCCCCACACACATAGAAAAAAAAACAAAAAATATATATATATATATATATATACATATACACATATACATGAAGTTACATATGTTTTGCTAACACATATGTTTTGTTGGTTGACAGTCACTTAGTGAGTAAAAATGGAAGCAGCACAGTTTTGAACTCTCTGCAGTAAATGAGTCAAGGTAAGTTCAAAGCACCTTGCTCACAGGTGAGCTTTCTTGATATCTGGGTTTAAGTACCCATCAACTCAATGAGTATACAGAGGATCAAGCTGGGAGGACTTCTAGGAAGTAGCAGGTATCTCTTCAGGCAAAGCTAGCAATGCAAACCAAACAAGAAAATATTTTGAAAACTCATGCCCCCTTGTGCTGTTGTATGGTATGAGACTTTGGTTTTTAAATAGCAGTGAGTAGGTCAGCCCACAAATATTCAGCATTTCTTCATTAGAAGGCAAATGAAGAATTGTTTTCTAATGGCATTTAGATGGCTGTAAAATTAATATGGACAAGAATGCATCACAGAGATGGCATGAATTTCACATGGAGAGGGAATTAAATGCTAAGGTCACCTGCTGATGCAGTGGCTTGGAATCCAATGGCTGCCCTTCAGCCTTTCAGAAAGACATCCAGATGTATTACAAACATAGGGAAGAGTCTAACTGGGAAAAAGGTGGTACACAGAATTATTCTGCTAATAACAGACAGCTATTATTCTGCTAATAATGACAGCTGCTCTTTTAGCTCACAGAAGGCAAAAAGCTTTTTGGTGTTCCAGTATCAACTTCACATACAGAATATGAAGTGTGTGTCTCTAACTCTTCCACTGTTGCAACTGAAACAAGGAACCACAAAACAAGTGTTAAAATGCTTGAGCATAATCGACCCTGATGGGCTGAAAAATGACAGAAGGAGCATAAAGAGAACAACATAACTGAGTATATCAAAGTTTTTCACAGCTATATCTGATATATTTATATTCAACATTTGTGTTTTGCTCTTTAGAAAGTCTCATGTTTAATCCTCTCTGTGACTCTTGCAAACTCAGACTGAAGAACAGGGGTGCTAAATGTGCAGCAGTCCAACATAAAAGAAGCTCTGCTCCTTTATACAATCTAACCCTGTTTGTGTATGATAGATTGCAGTCCTGGGAAAGACATTTGATTGCTAACTACATCCAGATCATAAACAGAATTCAACTCCAAACAGAAATGTAGAAAACTTTAGCTGAATTACTTAAATGATGAACACAAATGCATCCTTTGCACACAAACTTCAGGGGGTTTTGAAATCAAACCAGAGTCTGCAGCAGTGGTGTTCTTCTGCTGCCCTGAAAGCAAAAAAAACCCTGGGCTTTCACAACAGATGTACTAGCAAACAGCCCCACGCTGTGGACATTGCATGTACTAGCAAAATCACTTTGTGAGTTTACTGTACTTGAGCTGTCTCAGCTCACCCAGCCCCATCAGAATATACTGAAAGTTATTACATTGTGATTAATTTAACACTTACTACCATACTAAATTTGTGTAGACTACTATAAAGAAGAGGAAATTTCCAAGAAGATGGTAGACTTGAATTTATTTTTTTTTAATTTATCAGGGGAACATATCAAATGCAGAAATTCTGGGAGAAAAGCTGTTGAGTGGCATGTGGTCCTGGCAGTCAGATGGGGAGCAGAACTCAGTAATGGTCTGTAGCAGGAGTAGTGGATATCCCACACTTGGTAACAAAGTAAAAATCTCCACTAGAATTATTGAGCACAAAGATATTATGAGGTTTTTTTGTTTTGTTTGTTTGTTTGTTTGTTTTAGTTGTTTTGTTTTTTTTTTTTCCCTGAAAATGAAGGTTTTAAAGATTTTCCAAGGATTCAGCATACTCAGATACATAATTCTTTACAAAACATTGATGAATCTTTCTTCCCCTTCTAGGAAGCTGTTTCTGACCTGATTCTGGATCATCTCCTTCCTTTCATTCTATTTTAAGATGGGAAAAAAGAGGACTTTATAGACATTTCTGCAAACATCCCTTTTATTCAGCTGTGGGGTGGAGCTGCTCTGGGCAAAGGGAATGTCCTTGGTAGCCACCCACTGAGCAGCACTGCATCTGGATGCTGAAAATAAAGGTTGTTTCTTAATTTGCAAGCAACAACCATATGTTCAGGAATGAAGAAATGCATACTCCACCTAATCCCATGAGCTTCCTCTCTCCCCTGTGGCCTATTTAAAGTTATTCTAGCACTCTTTCCTGGACACCAGCTACTAAGTGAATTACCTTCCAACTTTAGGCCCTTCAAGCACAGTGATTGTAAGCAAAGCTGAGGAAAAACTGAGCATGTATGAACCATTGTTCCTAGTGACTCATGGCATCATTTT